GAATTTAGGGTCCTGCTTTGGTGAAGCGGAGTTAGTGCACCAAAGTAGAAGTCACCTGGTGGTTTTTTTCTTTTTTCTTTTTTTTTTTTAAACGTTATTCTAATTGATTCATCACATATCATTAAACTAAAATGTTTTTGTTCCAGATTAAGCCTGTTGGTTTTATGGGCTGCTTGACCCAGTTTAATCCTGAGAATTCTTCTATGATGTGGTTAATCACTAGCACTTTGGCTAATTTATGTTATATATCTAATTGATTTATCTCGGAATCCATATAAATAATGAATTGTCAATTAAACAACAGTTTTATGTACAAGTCAGTTTTGGTCGAAAGTTTAATTATTTAGATAGTAAGGAAGTGCGTATCATTGAATATTCATTTCTAACCTTTTCAAAAATTATATCTGGTATGTAGTATACTTTCTCCCTTTTTATTTTCTTCTCAGTTGCATCACTTTGCGAATTGCCGACTCCTTGGGCAATTTTTGGAGATGAGAAAGAGAGAGAGAATAACAAAATGGACCCATGTGATATGAGAGAGATAGAGTGTTTATTAACTGAAAAGTGATGCAACTAATTTGAAACTTCCTTTTTAGGAAATTGATGTAACTAAAATAAACGGAGGGAGTGTGAATTCTTTCCCTCTTATATCACAAGGCTTACTGCAGAATGTATTTGTTTTCCTTTTTACCTCCTTGTTTGTGAGATATATATTATATCATTACTTGTTGGGCTTTATGCAGTTATGCAATTTGGGGGCCAGCATCCTGGTGGTATTGGAGTTCCTGCTGTTGGAATGGCATTTCCTGGATATGTTGCTCAGCCAAATGGTCTTGGAAATTCTGAAATGACATGGTATGTACTCTTGTTTGTTGTTGTTTCTTTCAAGAAATAGGCAATGCCAATGTGCTATTCTGTATTCCTTGACATTTTTAAAATAACAATGCTATCTTAGAATTTGTGCATTAGCTTATATAAAAGACTGTTATTAAAGTGATTAAACAATGGAGAGTAAGCCATAAAGATTTTAGGATTGAACCGGTGCATTTTGGCTGTAGAATGCTTTAATTAACATGTTTTACGGAGTATATGTTTTTTGATCAACCATATTCAGTGTTTGCTAATGTGTATAATTCTGAACCACGATTTTGGCTGTAGAATGCTTTATTTATCATGTTTTACGGTGTATATGTTTTATGATCAACTATACTCAGTGTGTGCTAATGTGTGTAATTCTGTACCACAATTTTATTTTAGTTACTCCAGTCAAGTCATCTGATTGAGCAATGTGTCTGTGTGTGTAGTGATTCAATTCTTCTACCTTTTGTTCTATATGTTGCAGTTAAAAATCTTTGGAATTCATCTTTGGATTTTCACTTTGTGGTGTTTAATTTGTTGTTAAAGTTCTGTCTTTGATTCATGGCTATTCAGTTTTGATGGGTCTCTTCTATCTGTTGGATTTCAGTTGTGTCTACCTGTTATCATGTGCAGAATCGAAGATTTGTGGAGTTGCGTCATTGACTAATTGTTTTGATTGTATTCCTTTATTGATTGATTTACTTTTGGCCCAATCCACTTTCATGTGTAAAGAGATACATAATAACAGATACATGAGCCTTTTTTTGATTTGAAGTATTACAGGTCCATGAGAAGTTAAAAATTTTTTATTTCCCTGGAAGCCTAATAATGTGTTTACTTGATAGATGATTAAAATTACCTTTAACTCTGAATGTCTTTGTGCTCTTGTTGCTCCACCATTGATTCTCTGCATGTTGAGCTCTATATGTTTGAGTATCAGTTTTTTTCAATATCCTTGTTGCGTGAAGTCAGATTCACCTTGTAATTCATTATATGACTTTATACTTAACAGTGTTGCATTTTGGATGTGTTCAGGTTACCTGTTCTAGCAAGTGCAGCAGGTGCTCTGGGAGCCTCATATTGTAACCCTTATATGGCTGTTGATGGTTCTTACAATCCTCGACCAACAGGGCAACCATCTGCCTTGCCTGCTCCTAGGTCCATACTATTCTCTATACTTTGTTGCGTATTAATAAAACTGTTATAGTGTACCTTCTTTAGCTCTTGAATATAGCATGTATAGATATCATTTAAGATGTCTGCACTTTGATATAGTTGAACCTATTCAAATATGCAGTCAGAACAAGATGTTCAATTTTTTAAACCACTTCTTTGTTGTATATCGTTGCGAACAAATTCTTTATGTGCTTCTAAGACCGTAGGTAGATAAGGCTTGTAATCTTTTTTATATGTGCTCCTTTCTGATAATATTGATGCCTTATCGTTGCCTTGTGTGGTGTTATTATTATTTTTCTCTGTTGTGCCAACTGAGCTAAAGAAACAGATTATGGTTTGTACTAAAATGTGTATTAAGTCATGATTTGTGAAATTTGTGTCAAAGGATGTTAGGTCAGAGGAGTGTATTTTGCCATTTGTATCTCTTCTGTATGCTATGATGTTAAGCCTATGCTTCTTTCAGTTCATTGCCTGTTATATTTGCGTTTGTTGGCCATCTCAACTCTAAAGCTCAAATAATGTGTTGGCAATATGTTGCCCTTTGGCCTTTGTCTCAGAGCTTTACGATCTTCTTTCTTTTGCAGCAAAGAGAATAATAATCTCAGCAAACCTAGCAGTGAATTAAAACTTCCACAAAAATCTGGTAACTATACAAATATTATAGCTTTTAAATGGTACTTTCTGTCACTGTAATCTTTTTATTGATCTGATTCTGTTTGTTTGCAGATGTGGCTAATGATGAGTTTAGTCAGAGACAAAATAAGCCTCGCAGGTAAATAGGACTTAGAGATGTCCTTATGTAAACGTTGCTTTTGTCCTCTTTTCTTACTGATTTGTTGTTCCCTTTTTCATTTTACAGATACTCAGAGATGAATTTTAGTCAGTGAAGTACATATTGAAGTTTCTGCCTGTTCAAATAAGATTTTGGAAGTTGTTCCCTTGAAATTGAAAATAGGTTGTCGTGGTTGGCTTAAGAACTCCGGTTTATTCTCATCATAAGACTATTTCTGACTCCCATTTGGGTTCTTGCGCCCTTGCGCTAGACCACATTGGGCTTTCTGTGTCTCAGAGATAGGTAAGGAATTTTCCCAATGATTTTCGTGAAATTCTTGAAAGTTCCATTTGTGCACATTAGTTTTACTTTCAAGCAGCGGCATTGGAAATGTAATTGATTGTAACAATTGTCTAGGATTAACAGTTATATTTTAAAACTTTCAGCTGTGGTTATTGGTTTTTATGAGGTTATCTTTGTCTTTGAATGGCTTGCAGTTAATATGGTATGCGTCTGCTCAAGCTGTTCTCAGTTTAGGAAGATTGTTGCCGTCAGATGGGTTGGTTTGTAGCTTTCTGTTTGATATGCGGTATGGATCATGGACCAAATTAATCTTTTCATTGATTCATTGATTGGGTTTGTTGCCTTGGCTGATAGCAATATAAGTGTGTTGGTGTTCCGTGCTTCTATGGTTTTAGGTTTTCTGGTGGCTTGGTTTTCATGAAGCTCGTTCAGTACACATGGCTTTTTTGAGGAAGTGTTTGCAGAAGATGTTCGAAAAGCCAGACTTAATGTGCTATATACATATCTAGCTATTTTTTTTTTCTTTTTCTTGTTGATGTCGTGAATTGGCTTTTTAGCTTGTGCTGTTTACCTTTCTATTCTATTCTATTCCTGTTTATGAGTTAATGTTGGCCGCCTTGTCTATTATTTCTATGTTATTTTTCGTTTGTGGGTTAAACCTGCTTTTTATCAATATATTTTTTTTCCTTTCTAGGACTGCTTTGATAATTGAATGTTTTCATCACTAGATTTTTGCTTTGATGATTGAACATTTGCTACGTAGTTTTAGATTAAGCTTTTGTTTTGGAAGGGATTAACGATGTATTTGTTGGCCTGTTGGGTGATGATAATTGATGCTATGGGAATGAACTCTACTTATTCTCTTTTTTAATGGCTAGTTTGGTTTCTCACCAAGCAAAGGTCATATATATGTTTGTATATTGCATAGTACCCTTACGACATACTTCAGGTTTTCCGGGTTACTATTATTGCATATGAAGTACGGAGTATTATCATCCTTCCCATCCCTATCGTAAAAACATTGTTACCCTCCTCAATTCCCTGTTTGTAACAAGAGATTCCATTTTTTTGTTTCCGGTTGAATAACCATTATTGCTCATTTATGCTTCATTGTTAGTATGCTTGCTATCATTATGCTTTCATGGCCTTAACCATGCAGATTGGGAAAATACCAAGTACACCATAAATGTTTTAGTCACATGGATTAAATTAACCATGAAGTTCAACTCACCAACAAAGTGTTAGTAACTCACTTAGTAGGGCTCTTACCTCGGATTTTAGAGGTTAGGGTTTTGAAACCGTATTCTCCCCTCTACTCCCAAGCACGCAAATACTCGACTAAAAGAACCTTGATGGTTAAAGATTTGGTCAAAGGTTTTCTTACCATTAAAAAAATAAAAAATAAATAAATAAATAAAAAAAAAAAGAAGAAGTTATACTCTATCTAAGGTTAAAGTGCGGTTAAGGACAATAATTTGTAATTTTTTTTTTCAAGGTTAAGGTTCACCAACTTGTACTTGAAAATACAAGGAACTTGTAATTTTGTGCAGTAAACTTCATCTTGAAGGTATATTTGAATGCGTGATGCTGAATTTTTTTTTAAATGTTCAATTCAATTTATATATTGCAAATTGTCAGATTTGATGATCAAGTTGTATAATTGTCATTGTTTTAGGGAGAAAAAATGTAATGACAACCTTAAACAATGACAATAATACAAGTATAATTTGTAATGGTATATCTTTAGTATGATAGGTTTGCACTATGTAATTTCACTATGCATTATTTTTATGTGATGTTCAATTTGCGTGTAAATATAATAAAGAACAATCGATATAATAAGAGTCAGCAATCCTCACATTATGATTGACATCCGTGAAAGAAGTTAAAAAGTTAGTGATATTCACATTGTGATACAAGGAATTAAAAGTTAGCGATACTCACATTGCGATTGACCATTATAATCTAAGAAACTACTTCTTGTTATACTTTCAATCCTCTTTAGCAGTAAATGCTACACATACAATGGTTGTATGTGTATCAGCTCTCCTCTTTAGCTTCCTAATAAATCTCCACTTAATCACAAACCACCTAAAAGTTGATAAAACTTTAAAAACACAGTTTTGAATTTCTGGTCTTAAAAAAACAATGAAAAACGTGTTAATGTCAAACTCCCCAAAAAAAAAAAAAAAAAAAAAAAAAAAATCAGAAACTTTCTCTCTCTTCCGACAGTGGGATCTCCCACTCGTGACTCGTCAATCGTCATTTGACTCAATTCTTCCTTCTTCTCTCCTCAATTTCTTCTTCACTGTAAAAAAAATACAGCTGAAAATTGAGCTGGTTTTGCTGCTGTAATTACATCTTACTCAGTTCTTTGAATCTTTGTACATTCGTAAAAAATTCCCAGAAAGGAAAGCTATTGGCACACTCAATGGTATTGTTTTCGTCGCTTTCTTTTTTGTTATAAAAATGGAGGAAATTATACTATTTCTGGGTTTTTTTTCTGTTGAAGGAAATTATTCGTTGCTCTGCTTTTGTGGGTTTTCTTTCCTTTTATATGCTGCTTATTCTATTCCTTTTTTTTTTTTTTTAACTTGAATTCTCCCGTTATTTATGATATACTTCGCATTATATTTTGTTTGTGTAAATTACCCATAATTTTTTTTTTTTGAATGAGTGGAATCAATGTTGGATTTTGTCGGTTTTGCTAGATTGTATTGCATTGTGTAAATTGTCTTGTTTCTTGAAGTTGCATTGCTGTGAATTGCTTTTTGTAATGTTATTTAAGCAGCTTTTTTGGATTGATATGTTTTGGGGTGTTAATTATCTATACAAACAGCAGATTTTGATGTTTTGAGTAGGAAGATGTGGTGATCAACTGTCTTGGGAAAATGTGCATGAACTAAATTCTTGAATTCAGTAGATTAATTTTTGTAACCTTGAAATTGTAATTTGCAGAATCTGAGATTAAGAAGCTGTAATAGGATGTGTTTGTAAAGCATTTTGGATCTTGACCCATTTCGAGGGGCTTTTTTGTTTTTGATTCTATGGGTTGTGCTACTTGATACAATTTCCTCATTTTGTGAGATAATGGTGTATTATTAGGATAGTTTGAGTAGGGAGTTGTAAATGAAGGACAATCATAACGACGAGGATTTGCTGGGAAATGTGATTAGGCCATCGGCATTGAGGACCTTAAAGCCTACATTGTCTGGCCGATCGACCCCTAGGTCTTCTCCCACGTTTCGGAGGCTTCCTTCTACTCGAACACCTAGGCGAGATGGTAGATCTGGTGGGGGTAGGTTTCAGTGGTTTAAGAATAGTCGGGTGGTGTACTGGTTACTTTTGATTACTCTGTGGACTTATGGTGGATTCTACATCCAGTCTAGGTGGGCTCATGGGGATAATGAAGGTACTCAAGTTGGGTTTGGGAGTAATTCCAGAAATGAGTATGTTAACTCAGGGCAGAATCAGCATCGTGAATTGAAATCAGATGATGGTATTTTTAATGTGAAGAATCGGTCTAGTCGTAGTCTTGTAGGAAATGGGATCAGATTAAATAGTAGCATAGATTTATCTTTGACTGAAGAAGCAGATGTTATTTTACCTCCTAGAATCCGACCTCCCCGGACTGTTCCTTCTAAAAAGAGGAGTAAGAAAGGAAGGCGTGGCTCACAAAGTAAAACACGTGGTAGACGAAAATTTGGGGAAGAACATAGAACAAGAGATGCGGAGGATGTGCTGGAAGAGCAGATTCCAATGAGTAATTCTACCTATCGGTTGCTGGTTGGTCCGTTTGCCTCTACCGAGGATAGAATTCTGGAATGGAGTCCTGAGAAACGAACAGGAACATGTGATAGGAATGAACTCTTTGCACGTCTAGTCTGGTCTAGAAACTTTGTCTTGATATTTCATGAACTGTCAATGACTGGAGCTCCCCTTTCCATGCTGGAGCTAGCAACAGAGCTCCTAAGTTGTGGGGCAACAGTTCATGCTGTAGTCCTAAGCAGACGAGGTGGTTTAATGTCAGAGCTTACAAAGAGAAGGATCAAGATAATTGATGACAAGGCAGAACACAGCTTCAAAGCTGCCATGAAAGCTGATCTTGTCATTGCTGGATCAGCAGTCTGTGCACAGTGGATAGGTATGACATCACTTTTAAAAATTATGTTACTCCTTAACAATTTACACTTCAAATGTTATATTCTCAGCTTGCTCTAGATGCTTTAACAAGGACTAAAGCTTTCCTTTTGTCGGTTTATTGTTTAAGTGAAGAAATAGCATCATGTATTTAAATTGAGAAATCTATATAGATTTAGTTCCCAAACTCAGCTATCTAGTAGAATAGCCTCTAATGTTTTAACACAGTTGAAAGGAAGAGGGTATCAACTTATCCATATCATCCTGGATCCTTGGAGGTTTGATAGTGCTATGAGCTACTTCCTCTGTTTGTTTTTAGTTGATACGTTTTGACTTTGGCATTCTTCACACATTCTCCTTTGGCCATGTTTTGTGATTTATACATAATTATACATATAGTCATTTGGGCTCTTCATAGATTAGTCTATTTATAATTTCAAAATATGAACTTTTTATAATTTTTTCTTAACGATAACTAAAGATATTAATCATTGAATTTGTGCAATGGCAAGTGTAAATAAAGAAATGTGCCAACTAAAAACAAACGGAAGAAGTATTAAAATATAATTTGACCACAAGTATTATCTCCATCTAGAAATTATTGTTAGATAATTTTGGATCAATTTTTAATGGATACTGCATACTAGTATACTACTATGGAGGCAAACTAATACCTTATTGGACATATAATGAGGTGCTTTCTTATCATACAAGTATCTAATTGTTCTGATTAATTTGTAATATCATGTCTTTAAATAAAATATCTGCAATTGATAGTCTGTACTCGTAATTTCTTGCACTTTTCAGATCATATGCCAATAATTTTAGGAAGATGGAAGGTTTAAAGACTTCCTATTAGTTAGTTCATGGACACATTGGTGCTGTTTAAGTGTATAAATCTTTGACTCTGTGTAGTTCTTAACTTCTTATACTGCTATAAGGGTGTCTCACTTGTAGCATTACTTTTCTAAGTTCTATGAGCCACATTCTCCCATCTTTTATTGATACTTCATACCTCAACTCCTCAAGCATTGCTCACCATTTGAATGATGTATTGATGTCTGTTGGGCATATATATTTCGACATTTACTTAAAGAGGAAAGAAAATGTCTTTACATGGGTGTTTTGTCAATCCCATTGAATTTCCTATTTCTGTTGTTTAAGTGTCTGTTGTGCATTTTAATTTTGACAGCTACTTAATGAGGAAGATGAACTTAACGTGGGTGTTAAGTCAACTCCTATGACTTTTCTATTTGGTCTTTTTTTTATAGATTATTGTTTTTAGAATACACAAAGCAATCTGTATGATGCTCTGTTGTTTCCTCTGCAGAGCAGTATCTTGCTTATTTCAATGCCGGCTCAAATCAAATTGCTTGGTGGATCATGGAGAATCGCCGTGAGTACTTTGACCGGTCAAAAGTATTGCTCAATCGAGTTAAAATGCTTGTATTCCTTTCCGAATTACAGTCTAAGCAGTGGCTTGACTGGTGTAAAGAGGGCAACATTACATTGACTACCCAAACAGCATTGATTCCCCTTTCTGTCAATGATGAATTGGCCTTCGTAGCTGGCATCCCCTGCTCACTTAATACTCCTTTGACAAACCCAGAGAGAATGTTACAGAAGCGTCAGATGCTACGACAAGCTGTAAGGAAGGAGATGGGATTGGAAGATCATGATATGCTAGTCATTTCTCTAGGCAGCATAAATTACCCCAAGGGTCAACTCCTTCTTGTTGAATCAGCATATTTGGTTATTGAAGAACAGCCTTCTCAAAGTGAAGTCAGATCAATGACTTCACCAGAGACGGAGAAAAAAACATCCAAATTGGCTAAGAAGTTTCATTTAAGAGGTATCACGTTGAAGCCGAACAGCACTAATGGAACTTCCCAAATCAGCATATCTGACAGCTTGTCTGGCACAGATCCCACAAGATCTGAAATCACTCTGAAAACTGTTACTGAACAGAAACTCAAAATTCTAATCGGTTCAGTTGGATCCAAGAGCAACAAGGTGGTTTATGTGAAAGAAATTCTTGAATTGTCATCAAAACATTCAAATTTGTCAAAGTCCATCCTATGGACTCCAACAACAACTCGTGTTGCCTCACTATATTCTGCAGCAGATGTTTATGTCACCAATTCCCAGGTAATGATTTATGTTTATGTTAAAATTCAGGTACTTGATTTTGTATCTTCACTGCACCTGCACTATAATTTGGCTCACATGTCTGATTTGATATATATGAAATAATAGTATTTATCATCAATGTGACACCTTATAATCTTATATCAAGAATCTCTGAAGCTATTCTAGTATTCTGATACATCTACTATGGTTTCTACTCTAAAGATTCTTCTTATTCTCTGATATGTACAAGTAATATTCTGAGCAGTGAGCTGTAGTTAATGAAGAGGGTTTTGTTTGGCAGAGTTAAACTACAATGAGTCAATTGAGGCCTGATGCGTAAGTTTAAGTGACCTCAATCTCTTAATTGTTACTACCTCCGTTTCTTTTTAGTTGACACGTATTCCTTTTTAGGAAGTTTTTTTTGGTTGACACGTTTCCTTTTAGGGTAACTTTTTTACCTTGCATTTACAAGATACCCCACTTGATTTTTTATTCTCTCTCACTCTCTCTCCTCTGCTTAATATATGTGTCTAAATCAAACGCGTCAACTAAATAGAAACGGAGGAAGTATGTGTGAATGAGCAGTTTGCATCTGTTTAAGTGGCGTCAATTTGCTCATTTAAATACGTGTTGCGATGCTGAGGGAAAACTCATAGATTGTTATGCGTAGAGTCGTCAATCTTGCTTACAAGAATATAATTTTTTTTTTCAAGGACAACACAAGTTATTAGATCTGAAGATGGATTTTTGTCTTTCTGAGATAAACTGTTCCTGGAGTATACTTATGTGACTGATCTTTATATTGCACTAGGGGCTTGGAGAGACATTTGGAAGAGTGACAATCGAGGCAATGGCATTTGGTCTGCCGGTAAGTCTTGACTTAGCTTGCATCTTCTTGTATATGAACTACATATCCTTTACTTCTCTTTTCCTCCTTTTCAAGGATGATTGTATCCTTCTTTAATGCAGTGTCATCCTGTTTTCCAGTGATACTCTCTAGTCTGCTGGATTCACCCTTACCCCAAAAGTACAGTGATTATTTCTTTTTGTAATAAGGCTTAATCTGGAGAAAATGTTTTAAGAAGTGTACTGTCATGAGCTTATATGATGAGACTGTCTTGTGAAAGTTACAACGGCCCTTTCAGTAGTCTTATGAGCGACATGAATGAAGTAAATTTATAAATGTCTAAAGTATCATGCCAATATTCATGTTAATGCCAGTCCAATTATTTTTGTGTGTGTGTGTGCTTTATAATTTCACTACTATCATTGCCACTTTAAAGGACCTATTGAGTGGTATTGTACATATTTGAAGAAGCATGTGTTTGCCAATGGAGTTGCATTATGTTAACATTTAGTTGGAACATAAAATTTAAAATAGGGATAAATTTATTACCATTAGTTTTTTACTTCCATTATACTATATGTTACCACCTATCAAATGAACCGTAAGGTATGCCCCTTATTCTTAATTGATTTACATGGAATGGAGTATGATTAATTATACTTAAATTTATGGGACAGGTACTTGGAACAGATGCTGGTGGTACGAAAGAAATAGTTGAGCAAAATATTACAGGCCTGCTCCATCCCGTGGGACGTCCAGGGACTAAAGTACTAGCTGAAAATCTCAGGTATTTGTTGAAAAATCCATCAGTTAGGCAGCAAATGGGATTAAAAGGTAGGGAAAAGGTAGAGAGAATGTACTTGAAGCGGCATATGTACAAGTTATTCTTCGAGGTCTTGTTCAAGTGCATGCGAATCAAATAGAATTTTGATATTGAATGATTTTACCCATTTATTTTTTGATCTGGTAACAGAGTTTTTACTGCTAGACTGCTAGTATCAGAAAGCATCATGCTACTAAATTGAAGAGTATGGTAACATTTCTTAGTCAGGGAAGAAAACTAGTCTTGTATTCTTCAAAAGATCTTCCTGATATAATGCATTAGATGATTTTAATCTTCTTGCTATCCACCACAACTTAATTGTTTGCTGGTTTCTTCGCCATGTCTAGGCATTTAGTACTCTTCCACTAAACGTGGCGTTTAGTACTGTATATGTACACCTATATCCCTAAGAGGCTAGGCAATGTAGGCATGCCAATGAACTCTGCTAGCTTCTCCAAGAACTTATTCCTGTTATAATTGACCATCATCTAATATACATGCACGCTCCAATAATTAAAGCTACCTTTATTTCTAACTTCATGTATGTCAGTCAGTGAAATAATTCCAAATTTTGTTATTTTGAAGGGTTCTATTCAAATCTAACTAACTAACTCAATGGATAATCTATTTTTTTGTTTTTGTTGGTGAATCGAAATAAATGTGGAGAAGCTATTTCAAGACCACCATAGCATAAAACTATCTGTATCAATCAAGACCAATTACTCGACAACACATGGAATTCATAACCAATGGGGTCTTAAATTATTTCTCCGTATTAACTATGCTTCTAATCTGTCAACTGTATACTACCCTGGTGTATGTTAGGAATGTAGCGCTAGATATTAATGTTTTATGTAAAATGCTCTAAATACTTTTGTTGTTGTCATGTTCCTAGAAGGATAGTTTCCGAGTCACATCACATGGAGGTCCTGGACACCGTCACCAGGGGCTTACAACCTACTTCGTAAAAAAAAAAACTACCAGTTTATGTCCTATTATTTTGAGCTTCTTAATAGAGCAGAACAGCTCAAAAGAACATGACCTAACGTGTTTATCTTCATGGGTTAGCTCTGGATAAGATCAACGTAGTATTTCCCAAAAACGCATGTGATGTAGGGGGCAACTTGTTGGATGTGAATCATGTATTCCTGTGAATTAAAACCTGTGTTCGTTCATGTCATGATAACTGTTGGACCAAACTTTATTAAAGGCAAATATCCAACTTTGATACTGTCAATTTACACTCTATCCTAGTTTTCAAAAAAAAAAAAATTTACACTCTATACTACATTATTAATTCAGATTAATTATGCATGGCACGCCGTACACTGTTTTAACAAATAAATTTAACAAATAAATTACATGCAATTTGGGACAAATTGTTTGGTTGCTTATTGGGTGCGTTGGATTCATTTGATATTCACTTATATGAATTTAATTTTATTTATCTAAATTGACTTTGTATTAGTTGTTACTTATTAGAGCTTCTGAGCTTTATTTCAATTGTAAAATTATATTGGATAATCTTTATTAACTCTAAGTTATACGAAATTATTTTACCTGGACTTATTTTAATTTCAACTTATTATTTCGAAAAGAAATAAAAAAATAAAGTGAATAAAACAAGACCTTATTTTGTCCAAATCTAATTTACTTTTTCATAAATCTTTAACGAATCTAGCATAAACCCATGTCTTGGAGAGTCTGATTAAGGTTCTCCGACTTCTCTCACACCAATTAGTAATGGATAGGGTAGCTCACATTAGAAACTAGTTTCAACTTATATGTGAGTCATTTTCATACTGTAACACTTTTTCTTTGTTTGAATCAATTCTATTATACGGGCCCTTTAACGTTCATCATCCCATGTCCGCACTAAGGAGTAAGGAATAGTATGTGAGGTGTAATTTGCACCCGTCTAAAAGATGGAGACGCTCAAAATAGTTATTTTGAGAGTGGATTTTGAAACAGAAGACAATTCTGATAATGCACTTACTAGTCTAGCATGAGACAGGGCAAAATATGGCTTATTTGTAGAAATTTTAACCTAACAATTCTTTACTTGACTAGTTCCACAAGGCAAGTGCCACTTTTTTTTTTTTTTTTTTTTTTGGTGAGGACTAGTCAAGTGTGAGTGTGTGACTAATCTTTTGGTAGACTTTTAGCTCAATAAATTGTCCTTTTTGTTTGATTCTAGAATAAATTTCTCCCTTTCAATTTTAATCATATTCACCCCTGATTACACTCCAATTTGATTTGTCATAATAGATATTCTAAAATTATCAAATTATTGAAATTATCAAATAATCAAATGATGAAAGATGTGGATTAGTTTTGGTTTAAATATATTAAGATTTTTTTTATTTTTTTTTTTATTTTTAAGTGTAACAAATATGTGAAACGGGTGTATAATCACCGGTGAAATTATAAGCCCTAAAATATGTTTAACAAGTAAGAGTATAACTGTGTTATGGAGTACAGACACTAGTAGACTACAGAGTAGTTCACTAGTAGTGTTTTAGGGATTTACCACCACTAAGAAATGCAATCTAGGTAAGATTCTCCACAAGTTTTATATTCTATACAAACCTAAATTCATTGAACAATGAGTATATCATTCCAGTTTTGCTTGTAATGCAAATACCTTAAAATAATATAATGTGTCAATTTTATGAGCCTTATCAAAAATATAAATAAAAATCTTTAGCCCAAGAAACGACATTATATAACAAAAACTAATTTTTTTTTTTTTCATTTTATAGTCAAAACTTCATAATTATATCATGTAGATCAGTATGATATATTATCACTCGAAATATACACAAGCTTTTCCGGTGATTTAGCTACATATTTACATACACTAACCCTACTTAAACTTGTAACAAAAACAAGTAGCATATACTATAACCTTAAAGTTCTAAAACAAAACCACATTGAACATGCCTTGAAAACTTTGTAGGCATTTCAAGCTTAGTCCATTTATAGTTCTTCAAATCCAACATATAACCACTATGCGCTTCACCAAATTTTGGAGACCCAATCACTACCAGCTTATCGCCACAAGAACCCAACCATTGGGAGCTTCGCACGTCAGCAGGAACCTCCGCGACTACCTGCCACTTGTCGCCTTGGTAGACTGCCACATCACTACTTCGCCTTCCTATGCACGAGTACATACGCCCGTCAGGACCGGCCACGCACAACCCGGGGCTCGAACCTTCTTCTAGAAACTCCTCGATCACCGGGCCCCACTGCCAAGTGGACCAATCGAACACCTCGGCCGACCTCTGGAAACACCCTTGCATATCCGTTGGGTAACCACTGATGACATGGAACTTGCCACGGTGGAAAACAACTTTACACTCATCACGTGGTCGGCACATGTCGGGTAGTGAGACCCACTTATCCTCTTCCACGTAATATAACATCGCGGAACTCAAGGCGTTTTTGTCTTCGTCATGTCCCCCAGCAACCAAAACCGTCCGATCATCGTCAGATGCGGCGCATCCAAAAAAGGACCGCCTTACACCTGACATATCCGCACCCTTCCGCCACCCGCCATACAAAAAACTGTACATAAACACATCATTCGAGGCCTTCCACGTCACAGGGTCCCACCCTCCCACGACAACAAGATCTGAACCAGACCCAATTAACCCGCAAAACATGGGCAATCCCTCATGATGCCCAGGAATTGGGGGTAAATGGGCCCACACCCCAGCTTTTGGTTCTGCAACCGAAAGCTGGTACGTGGGCCTAGATGGATGCTCCTTCACAGCAGGGTCCGATTCAGAATTTTGAATCGGACCCTCATACTGAGCTTGAGCTAACACAATAATCGGCCGGACTACTCCGGCCGCTTTTCGATGCCGGATAAACTCCGGCACACTAATTTCATACTTCCAGTTTCTACAAACAGATGTTGCTGTTGGAAGTTCATAAAAGGGTACTCGAATCAAACACTCTCTACCCAAATCATCGATCAAACCCGGAATAATCGAATCCATATTTTTCAAAACTCAAAGAAATTGAGGTTTAAATTTAAATTGCTATTACTCTCTGAAAAAGTGGCTATTTATAAGACTGTAAGATAATGTTTTAGAATGAAGATCAGAAATATATACTATGATTTTTTTTTTTTGTGGGAATTTGTATTTATAGAAGAAAAAAAAGATTCTAGAGAAAAGATGATAAGAACAGGGGAAGAGGCTAAGGTTTCTAGAAGAAAAAAAAAAGATGATGAAAAAAGGCGGTGTAAACAAATTAATTTATACTCTATCTAAGAATTATGTGTGTGACCATAGGATAAAAATAATTAAATTATGGGTAGTTTTGTCAGATTTTGATGGGTTTTAAATTACGGCTTACAGTGATATTTTTATTAAAAATAAATAAATGGGCCAATAATTGAAGTTTGTTAAAGATAAATAATTTTCAGCCATCGATTTGAATAAATAAATGATTTTTGGTTGATAAATTTCATTTCCCTTTTAGGCCCATATATGTCACTGTCACACTAACAAATTTCTGTTCTATTTGAATAAGTTTCTAGGGGTATTTCTTTTTCTTTTAGCTTTTTTTTGTTTTTTTTTTTTGAAGAAATCTTTTAACTTAATTTAGATAAATATAAGTTTTGAAATAAAATTAAGGTTACACAAGACATACAAAAAAATTAATAAAAACTAAGAGAAGGAACTAATTTTTTTAATTAAAAATAAATAAATTTTAAGTTTACAAAATATTATACAAATACTTCATATTACGTATAAACTATTTACAGAAGCTAGACTTTTTTTTTTTTTTTTTGAAACATACAGAAGCTAGACTTTATTTAACTCTTACCTTATACAATTAAAAAAAATGTTCATATTAAATATAATAAATACTAGGGGTTTTCAAAAAAAAATAAACACTAGGTAAAATTCATTTCATTTTAATTACAACTAAAATAAGTCAACTTCTTTATCAAGTGACTAATTACAACACCTTTTTGTTGTCATTAATGTCACGCAATATTATATTTCAAATAATTAGACAAAATTGTTTTTTTTTCAAGTAATTAAGTTTAGATAGACTATATATGGAGTACAATTTTTGTAAAAAATAGTTTCATACTTTTGTATAAATAACTTCAATTAGAACACACATATCCATGCTTTTTTTTTTTCTTTTCTTTTCCTAGTAGGACACTAGTTGATATGTTGAGATAAGGATATATTGACAATGACGGATCTTGGTCAAAAATATTAAAGGGACCGGTATTTGAATTTCTAATCTCTCACACAAACGTCAAAATTAACCACTATATGCAACATAAGTAATCATGGTTATTGTAGTTTAACACTAATTAATTTAAACAATTTACAAGAGGGTTGACCTGATTAGCCCAGTGAAAGGTCCCCTTCGGATATTGATGAGCTTAATTGGGAAGATTGCAAAATTAGTGTTTGACTGTTTGCATTGCGTTATGTAATTAAAGTTTTCTAGTGGATTTAAGTGAAGATGATCTATCCACGTAGAAACAACAAATTAAAGATGCAACTTGCTTACTTGCTTCATTTCATTTGGGAATAAAATAGGAATCCATGTTTTCAATTGTATTGAGGAAACAATTGGTTTGGCAGTTACATGATAAAGATGGAGGAATTCCCAGCAAGAGAGTTTCTTAGAGCATCTTCAATGGTTTAATTGTAAGGACTTGCTTGCAATATAAATAAAATTTCTAGCTACATGCTTACCATTGGAGAACAAAAAATTGAGCACCATGCTAGCAATTGTAGCCCAAACAAGCTACATGCTTGATTGAAAAAGAGACAAATAAACTCCACTTATATTATAATATGTGATAATTATTTATTTATTTATTAAAAATTTATTTTTTACAAACTAAAAAGTGTTGTAGCTTACCATTGGAACACTTTGTTGCTAAAAAGTGTTGTAGCTTAAAAATTAATATAGAAAAGCAAGCTACAAAACATTGTAGCTTGCCATTGGAGATGCTCTTAGTTAGTCATGATTTAATTAAAATATTAGTTTAATGAACGCTAAAATATGTGCAATCGAAGTAATTCAACTTATAAGTTCAAATAAGATTGAGCATTGGTTTTTATTACTTGTAATACCTAGGAGGGAAATCAATATATTTAGGAAAATTTATCTTGAAGGGACTTATATGTTCACTATTTTGTGTAGAAGGACCTTATATGTTGAAAGTTGCCTAAAAGGACTTTATAAGTATGTTTTGTTGTTTGGAAGGACCTTAACATCTGAATTCGGCATTTGACTTTGATTCTCGGTCATTGACCCCCACGTGCATGTCACATGGCATTAAAAAAATACCCTTTCCCTTTTTTTCCCCTTAACATTGGAATCCGGCGTTTGACTTTGCTAGTGTTTTGAAGGCTAGGGTTGGAGGGAAAAGGGGAAAAAAAAAGGGAGAGGGTAATTTTTTTAATGTCACGTGACATGCATGTGGGAGGTCAATACCGAAGAATCAAAGTTAAACGCCGGATTCCGATGTCAAGGTCCTTATAAACAACAAAACATATTTATAAGGTCCTTTTAGACAACTTTCAACATAAAAGGTCCTTCAAAACAAAATAGTGAATATATTAGTCCCTTTCAGACAAATTTTCCATCTATTTTTATATACATGATTTTTTACAAGGTATTCTTGTGGTTTTACCCAAAAACTCGATTGCTAAATACATTCTTGACCTACTTAACACACCATTCCGAAAAAACCAAAAATACCTCGATCTCTCCCTTATTCTGTTGTTGCTAGTTGCTACCCTCTCTTTCATCCTAAAACCTCAAAATCTTTAATCGTCACTGCTTCATTTAAGAATCATCCAATATATATCCCAATTCAATTTAATTTGCATCTATTTTAAATCATTTCATTCTCTATTTCATTTTGGATTTTCGTTCTTATAGTCAACCAATCAAACAACAAAGGTTAATTCCTCTAAATTTTGTTAACTATTTATTTATTTTGAATGAACAATAGTTGAAGATTTACAATTATGTAGTACACCATAAATTTGCAATTTGTGTATTTTCGTTTTGTTTTTCCAGAATTTTCGATCTTTTGGTTGAATATTGAAGGCTGTATTTTTCTTATAAGATAGTGAAGCATGGAAAAAATTATTGAGGGTTGAGAAATCAAAAGTGTATAATCTCTTTTGGGATTAGTTTTCGTTAAATTGATAAAATTGAATTGAGATGATATTTGGTTACAAAGAATTGAAATATTTTGGATAACTACGGAGTACAAATTCTTAAATGAACCTGATTCACACTAATTTATTGTGCATCACCAACATTTGAGACAATATAATTGTTTTATTGATAAAAAAAAAGGTTACTATATTAAAATAAAGGTTATTATGTTGAAATAAAAATTAGTGTGACATTATAAAAGCTATAAAAAGTTATTTTTTTAATGAAATTTTTAATATAATGGTCAATATGAATAATAATAATAATCGCTATGTTCAAATTAGGTCACTATTCAACATAATGTCGTACTTTAAATTCATAATAAAATTAAAGGTCACACAAGTTTTAAAAAGGTTACTATGTTAAAAATAAGGTTACTATATTAAAATTAGGGGTTATTATGTTGAACATAATGCCAGTTACGTGTATATAAACCTTTATTGTGGACCAAGTCCACACAAATATGCACGAAATAGATACACGAATTAATGATGGGAGTAAAATAAATGTAAGATACATACTTCTTAGCTAATGTAGTGTTTTGATCTGAATTTCTTAATCTTGAAATTATATTACTCGACCTTATCTAAACTTATTAGTCACATATTCATTTAATTTGGCCTTCTAATGCTTAAATAAACCTTATATGTAATCATTATACATGAATTTACATCGGAATCGAACTTATATTAGACCCGAGCTGATTTTATCTAATAATTGCTATAAGCGAAAATAGGGTGAAAAAAACAAAGCTTTGAACACAACTTATAAGTTCCCGGTTCATATGATTTGAATAAGTTCCCGATTCATATGATTTTGAACTTATTAATTCTAAACTTATCTTATTAGAACTTATTTGTCCATATTTATTTTATCTGAACTCATCACTTTAATTAAGGGCATGTTAGCATTTATTGAAATGAACTGAACTAAACTGATTGGAGCTGAACTGAACTAAACTGCATATTTTATGAGAGAGGGAAATTAGGAACTGAAATGAACTTAACTTAACTGAAGTGAACTGAATTATTGATTGGAGCTAAACTGAATGATTGGAGCTGAATTGAACCGAAATGAAGTGAAATTAAGTAAATGTGAAGTGGATACAACGTGAATATATATATATATATATATATATATATATATATATATATATATATATATATATATATATATATATATAATACAAGATCTCTTATACAATACCTTTAAAATTGCGGTTGTATGCAATATTATTTCCATTTTTTAATTAATGTATCATTTTAACTTTTATGCGGTTTATTTATGCACTCGTTAGCGTTAAAGGACCCGAGTGATGAGCTAGTCATTTAGAGGCTATACAAATGATAGAACTACACCCTTGGACACGTGGTACTAGTCAACATTTAGAATGCAGTTAATAGGTTGAAATTAATTAAGAGAGATGCATTATATTGGACACATATGAACTCATGAATTATAAGAGGATCAATAATTCAGTGTATTTATTTATGATTAGCACATAAAATTTGTGTACGTGGATATGGTCCTAAAGATAAGGCTTCATCACATGGCTAAGATTCTTGGATCTTTCTTCTTACTGAGCCATGTCGTTTTCAACTAACTGTTGTTTTTTCCACTATCTTTATCTGTTAATGGCTTTGACTCTCTAAGTACTATCTTTAATGTGAACTTTTGTACTAATACATAACAATAAATGTTACTCGTATACAATACTCGTGTCGATACTCGGATTAGTTCCTTATAGGAGTTGGGAATTTTCTTATCCCTCTTTACCATTATTCTT